CCCTCTACTCACCTTTCCCCTCCTCGCCTGCTTACCCTCCCCTCCCCTCCCCTTCTCCCCCCTCCTCCTCTATCCTCTCGCCTTCTCCTCGCTCCACACTCCCCCCATGTGCATCTGTCGGTTCGTGTCCCTTCATCTTTCGCTCTCCCCATCCGTCCCTTCACTCCCCGGTTCCTAAATCCATCCTTGCATTCAAGCGCAAATGAAACGGAAAAGGGAAAAGGCACTCGCGTGCAAATCAACAAACAACAAAAGACGGGCAGGCAACTGATTATCATCAACAACAGAGGAGAACAGAGACACTTACTTCTGGCGTTGGCGTAGAGTGGAGGGGCGAGTTGTTGGTGCCCCTTGCGAGGCATTAGAAGATGGCGAAACTGCTGCGCCAATAGCCTCTTCCCCTTTCCCTTCCCCTTGCCCAGATTCCTTGTTCTCGCCTCGGACAGCTGAATCAGATAGCTGCCAGGCACACACACACACACACACACACACACACACACACACACACACACACACACACACACACACACATATGACATCCTGATGACTCAGTGAAATTCCGACGAAAAAGTGTGGCACAGTCATGCTTTTTGTGTGGAGTTGTGTATAGCGGACATGACAAGTTGACAAGACACACATGATGATCTTCACGGCGCAAATCTATCAATTTCTTCCCAATTTCACACGCAAAACAGCCAGTCTTTCCTTCTTTCTTTCTTCTTCTTCCCCCCCCCGGCTCTTCACAGCCAGTCTGCCATTTCCACAAAGAGAAAATTTGCATCGTTATGTCCCTGCCTTGCCAAAGGACGAAAACAAAAACAACAAGACAGGGTATGAAACGTCGCGCGGTTGCGCATCACACGCTACCCTCTGGTTTGCCTTCACCGGTTCTGGGAACGAAGGTGAGGCCAAAGACTGGGAGGATGATCAAGTCCAGGACGCGCTATCATGACAGGGAGGGAGACTGCATCCGAATCAGAGAAGAGGATTACAACGGCGTGCTCCGCCTTGCGGCTATGGGCCGTTCTCCGCTACTCGCCAACTGTGGGACTTGAGAATGGAACTTCTTAGAGGCGATAGGCAGAAACTGCGTTACACACCGCTTGCACCTTGGTCCCTTGCCGGGGACCGGCCGGCACGGCCCGGCCTGCTCACCACGCGACACGTCAGGATTGCTGACGTGGCCTTCGTCCTGATCGGTGGCGTGCCACGTGGCGCGTCGTCTGATGTCCTTTGGTGAGGGCGAGATCAGCTAGGAGGGGTACGGCTAGGAGTGCGTAGGGGTGTGTGACGTGGGCTATGATACACGGAGAGGCGAAGAATTGAGGGAGTTCGGTGATGGCGAGTTTGGGAAAATTGACGGCTGATACGTGGCTAGCTGCCGTTCAAGCGAGCAGGATGCGGGTAAGCCTCGTGGTGGCAAACCTGCGTCGGGCGGCTGCCGAGGCGAGCGTTCCGACGATATCGTGGGTCCGGAGTGAGCAACAGCGATTACTGGAGATCACATGGGGATTGGAGGAGGGGCCGCCCCCCCATTTGAGTGTGCTCATTGACTGGCCACGATTTGACGACTCCATGCAGCAGTACTATGAGGTGCTTGAGGAGGGGCAAGATCTGTGCGCTGCGCTGGAGGACCACTGCCAGTGTGATGAAAACAGCATCATGGGAGCCGCTAACAACATCGCCAAAGATGATATCGACATCGACAGCAAGAACATAGACAATCTTATCGCTGTAGCCCTCATCGACGCCGTCAACAGCAGCGAAAACAGCAACAATAACTCTTATTTCAACGATAACAACATCAACTACAGCAACAACAACAACAACGACAAAAAAAATGACGAGATTGCTGACAACGACAACCACAACGACAACAACAATTACGACAACAGCATCGACAACACCAACAATACAAGTGAAAACGGCAAGCACGGCGATCTGCGTGAAGATGACCATGACGATTGYATCCGAGTCATCCAGGTCGCCGCCGACAACAACAGCGATATCGATCCGGAGGCGGTCAGCTCGAATGGGCGAACTAGTGCTGCGCCGCTCCTAAGGGATCGGGGTGACATGGTGGCGGGGAGTGGTGCAGGCCCGGATCTTTGTTCTTCTGCTGTTTTCGACAAGGACAACAATAACATCAACGTTAATAGAAACGACATAATTCGTGTGGCGGTGGGCTCGATTGGGGAAGGGCGAGTGGCGAGGAAGATAGGATTAATTTGTAAACGGGGAGGATGGGTGTGGGCGCGRGGAATGGGGAGGTGGCGTGTGGGGGTTGGATAGTGCGCGAGGAGTCGGGAGGTGGCGAGAGTGGGTGCGTCAGTGAAAGCCACACTGCTGCATCGCCATTGGATTGTCTCTTGGCCACATGGCAATCCGGTCAACTCATCTTGACGGCTGTCGTTCCATAGGCGGCCAGCCACGGCTTTGACAGAAAAAGTAGGTTGGCGGGTGGCTGTTAATTTGGACATTTTTGCTAAGATTGATTCTTTAAAATCCCTAGTCTGATAGCCTCTCCTCCTTTCACGTTGCAAGACCGTTTTTGTAGATGACGATGGATTCAGACTAGAGGTGAGACGTTAGGATGCGATGGCCAGTTAATCCCCTCAATTGAGGGCAATCAATGCTGCCCATCGAATTAATGATGCGTGTCCACGTGGCGACTCGGGGTTAGCTCA